CCATTTAGTGGACTTCAGTTGCAACAGAAAAATTACTGGCTGGACATCCTCCCCCCAATAGTGGACAATTCCTTTGCATCCAAAGTAGTCTAGATAAAACACTTGAAAATTAACTTTAAAATCCTATTAAATGTACCTTATTTGTGACAATTTCTGTCAACTTTTGATTGATGGTAACTTTTGTGTAAATTTTCATTTTTGTGAAAATGTTTGTGTAAATTATATGTACATTTTCATCATTACATGAATTACATAACATCATTACATGAATCACATCAACATTACATGAATTACATATATCAGTGAGAATGGCATACTGTAATTTATTTAATGGACATTAAGGAAGAAAGGACATCCCTTTCACAAAAACCAAGCTTCACTATCTGTATTGCTAAAATTATTTCATTTTCTCAGAATTGTTTCAGTCTTCTTGTTCATCTAGGCTAGAAAAATACATGCATAGGAACTGCTGCTTCCACAGACGTTCTTTTACCTCAAAATTGCCTCTTTCTTGATGGTTTCTTTACTAAACCAAACTATGATCTCTCCCTCTGACTTGAAAGTGTTTCTTCCTGAGAGATGCAGAGTCTTGAGACAATTAGCTTAGCTAACAGTATGCAGCTCATATTTTCAATATTCAGCAAGAATGTTTGGTTGATGGCTTTGCTTATAGGAGCTCTAGGTCGGTCGGTCTGTCTTTTTTTAAAATTGTCATCATTAATAGAAATCCAGGATATAAATATTTCTAGTCATATTACTTCAGCTGAGGTTGCATTATTGACAGACTTTGATATTAATGCTCACTGCGTATATTTGTTCTATTGATTTCCATAGCATTAACAATATGTATTATTAAACATAAAGTTTTCAGACATATGCCTTAAGTCAGCTTTCCCCAATCTGTTGCCCTTCAACTGCACTGAAGTGTAACTATCATCATCTTCAATCTGGCCAACCAAGACAGCAGCAGGTTGAAGAAGGCTAATTTAAATTGACCCTCAACTATTAAAGGCAACAAGTAAAGATAAAGTGATTTTTGTGCCAAGCTCAGCTCCTGGTCAGTTCATGAACACAGCTTAGTAGTTTTCTTGGCAACAGCACAGATGTGGTTTGCTGTTGCTTTCATTCATAATATTTTGTTATTGCTATTGTTCTTTTTATATCCCAGTCTAGCCCTGGTGTTCCTGGTGGTGTCCAAGATTGTTTAATAGGATTTGTCCAGGTCATTTAATAGGAAGTAGATGTCACATGTGGGGAATCTACTATAGCAAGTTTATAAGAGTACTGGAGGATTTCATGCCAAAGCCTTGACACAAATATACCATATTCCAGGGAATTAAGTTGATCATGCTGTTAGGGAAAATGAGCCATTTGCTAATGTACTTCTTGAAAATGTCCTATCCTAAAGTTAAGTAGAGTTAGGTTCTTTGCTTGGCACATATAGCAAGTTGATAAGAAAATGTCTGTATTGGGGTATTTGGTAGTACAAAATATTACAGTTACATGTGATTGTTTTTACTCTACCCTGCTGATTGCGTTGCATAATTTAGATTGTAACTACTCTGTCAGAGCACTATCTTGTCTTATTTGTTTAAATTATATCAAGCATTTTAAGTCAATGTTGAAAATGATGAAATTATTCCTGTCTTTTCTGATATTAGCTATTTATCATTTATCTGAATAAAGAATTAACATAGTATAGGTGGCCCCCAGTTTAAGAACGAGTTCTGTTCCCAAGGTCTGTCCTTCAGTCAAATTTGTATTGTATAATACTGTGTAAGTAGTACTGTGTAATTAACTTGAACCATTGTGTGTTTAACTCAACGTTTGCTACAATAGACTCCATTCTTAAGTATGGGTCGTCATTAAACTGGGCATTCGTAATGGGCGATGATGAATGAACTTTGAAAGAAGCATAGAATAACTGTTAGTTCCTAGATGAGCTTTCTCAAGTTCCTAACGTGTGTGTGGCAAGTCTGTCATTAACAAATTCCTAATATAGCCTAACCACACGAAAATGTTATAAGTGAAGGATTTCCAGACTGACTGACTGGTATTTTATATATACATATAGATACAGATATACATATAAATACTATATATGATTTGTTCCTGCTACAGTAAAACAGTAAGAGAAAACATGTATAATAGTTTTATGAGTTGGGACTAATCTACATAAAATTATAAGTTACAATAGAATAGGTATGCTGAGTACTTTGGGACCCACAACCAGGCAGAAATGGTCTCAGCTGTTGAGAATTATCATTCATGCAGTGCGTAGGCACATTTGTTTGCATGTTGATAGTAGGTATCAACAGACTTACATTGGAAAATCCGGAATCTCCTTGATATTCAAGAGCCTGACTCAGTTACTTATGTGATGTCATACTCTAGACTTAATTTTCTGTATTGAATGAGATGGAAATGATTTATAACTGGTGAAGACTTTTATCACTTTATCAGGGATGTATTATTAACAGCTTAAGATGTGCTCATTCCTTTGGATTTGTGAGTGGCTTGTGATGTCATTGATCATAATATATAGGCCATCATTTGCGTTGTTCTTTTGCAGGTCAGGTAAGGTCCCACAGGGTCCTTCTAAATGAGGGCATTCCTGAACTGGAAGCTGGTAAAATTCAGCTGAGATGGAAAGGCTGAAGGCAAGGAAGTCTGCTGATACAAATACCTTTTCTAGATGTTGATCATGCTGTCCTCATCTTTCAAGAATAAATTCACAACATACTAATACTCTTGGATAGAGTACTACTTCAGGATTCCCAGCGATGGCATCCATAGCTTAAGAATTTGTCTTTCCAGCTTGATTGATACATCACCTGTATCATTTTCTAAACATTTTGAATCAGCTGTGTCTTTAATGTTCACATTAAAGCCTGAACAAATATAAGGCTACTGTCCTTTAAAGAAGTACTGCTAACATTCCTGCAAGTTTGGAAGTACATCTTATGAATAATTCTGGAAACTATGCTGTATACTTGGATATGTTGGAAAGTTTATAGTAATGAAGAAGAGTGGTGGAAAAAAACTTACTAACTTACTTATTTATTTAATTTGTAGGCCATCCATCTCCCCCTTTTTCTGTCCTGTGCCACCTTATGGCAGCTGAAAATATTGGAGACATTTTACATTTAATTAGAAACTTTTAGTCAGAATTTCCCTGTACCCGTGAAGTATTATGCTCTGGGGATTCTTGGCCAGCTTAAAGTATGGCTTACAGTATGCAAACTGTAACATCTCTAGCTGCATGCAACTTACTCGAAAACCTTGGGTGCTACCCTCATAAGCCTTCCAAGAGTTCCTACCAAATTGTACATTTTAATACAATGTAAGGAGGTCTTGATCCTATATATCACCTTCTCTCTTTGAATACAAGGCAAATTCCATTAGAGGGTTCAGCTGAAAATGGCTGTCAGAGACATTATATGGTAAACAGTATGTATAGGGAGAGAAAGTGTTTTTTTATTTTTAATGTACTTAAGTCATTTTCATTGTATTTCGGAGTCTCCAGAATAGATCTTGTATGGATAGACCTTTTCAGAAATATCTAGCTTTGGGACTTTCTCCAAAGAGAGTTTAAGTTGATCTTCCCTAATGTCTAACATTGTTGTTTTACAGTTATTATAATCATGATCATCTCCTTTTTTCTCTTTTATTTGAGTGTCCTATTGTGCTTTAACTGTAGCAGTTGAACAGTGTTTTATCTTATGATAACTGAACTAAGCATAAGACAAACTTAAGCATAAATGTTGTTTTCTCAAAATGTGCTTTAATAAATATATTAGGAGTTTGGATTTTCTAACAGATTTCTGTAAAAACAATTGTTAAAAACTAAAATATGTTGGAGATCTCAACTATTTTAATTCACCATTCATTAAAGAATGAAAAGCTGTAGTAGATGGATAATTTTAGAACTTGCATAAAGGGTGAAGCATCATGATACAAGTTTCAAAAATGCTATTATTTCCAGTCTTCCTATTTCTGCAGTCAAACTTTGTTCTTCGATAGTTGTAAACAATGAACTAACATAATAAATTAGCTGCTACCAGAACATTTGGAAGACTTCTTTAAAACCAAATGTTTTAATTCCTGGTTTTACTGTATGCTGCCCAGAGTCACTTCAGGTGAGATGGGTGGCCATATAAATTTGACAAATAAATAAATACTAAAATGGTGTGACAGGGGTTCTCAGATGTGTAATTCTTACCCCATTACATTGTCTAGCTGTCATTACTATCTCCTTTTTTAACTGTCCTGTTCCGAACCATTTGTTTGAATGAACTGGCTATTTTTAAAAAATGTGCTATATTATATTACAAGACAAGATACTGCTTCAGATTTGAAGGCAAAAAAGTCCTTTGATGCTACAGGGATATGAATGTAGTACCTGTGTGCAACTGATAAAGCAGCCATGCCTTTTCCCAGGATTATGTGGCTGTCTTCTACAGCTGCAATGCCACCCTGGGAAAAAAACTTACTTGGTTTAAGAAATTGCAGGTGAGTATGTGTTCATGCTGTGTGCTCCAAAACTCCTTTTTGCCCTTGAACCCACATAACCAGATTGTATTGTATTAGAGGTAGTCCCTGGGTTAAGAACGCCTGGGTTGCAGACCACCCATAATTAAGAATGGAGCCATACGTAGCAAAATTTGAGTTAAATACATATGTATTATATTTATATTTATTCATATTATCATACACATGCTATGGACTTTAATTTTGCAGGTTGTTAATTGAGTAGAATTTTAGTAATGTGCACATTTGTTCATATGCCGCCCAGAGTCACCCGTTGGGGGGAGATGGGCAGCATACAAATTTAAGAATGAATGAATGAATGAATGAATGAATGAATGAATGAATGAATGAATGAAATGACTTCGTTTGAAGACTTTTTTATTACAAAATAGTAAGATATTGATATTTAATCAGTTACTATTTCAGATAGTCATCAACTGTCATTGAATCGTTTTCTTCTTATATTCCAGCTTCTTGTAAATGTTTGTTAATAGCACAACGGGCAGAACTCTGTACAGCTATGAAGAATTATCAACAAGCCCTTTATGATGCAGAAGTTCTCTGTCAGAATAAACCCCATTGGCCTAAGGTACGATATGTGTTTGCAAGTTGGCAAATAAGAAAAAAAACCCCTCTAAATACCTCTTTGTATATAAAAACAGGAATTATTTCTCACATTTAATATCATTTAAGTCTCTTCTGTGAGGGCATACAAAAATCTTTTTTAGATAAAAAATAAAAATATTTTAGTGTTACATGAGTAAACCTTGAGTGTGTGGTGTTCCCTTTTATTTTCCTACAGAGTTGTGCATTTTTGCATCCAATCTTGGACAAACTAGACTTAACAATGCTTTATTGAAAAAAAAAATTGCTTCATAAACTTTGGCTTTAGCCACAAAGTTATTCTGACTCCTTTACTTCTATGTATAGTATTTGTTGACGCATGGTCATGTAATTTACTTACTATTGTTCAGGCCAGGTTCATAGATGGATTTAGCAATAAAACAATTCTTCCCCCAATTAGAATAGATTTAGACTGGTAGGGTGTTGAATTTTGACCCTGCACGTTAGGCTTAATATCTCTACTTGTGTGTGTGTGTGTGCGCTCGCGCGAGTGCACATGCCTTTGAGTCAGTTTTTGACACCTGGCAACTGCCTGAACTAGTCCCTGCAGTTTTCTTGGCAAGGTTTTTCAGAAGTGGTTCGCCATTGCCTCCTTCTAAGAGAGAGTGACTGGCCCAAGGTCTCCCAGCTGGCTTGGTGGCTAAGGTGGGACTAGAACACCATCTTCCAGTTTCTAGCCTGGTGCTTAACCACTACACCAAACTGGCTCTTTATTTAGCTGCTCTCAGTTCTTTAGGGATATGTACTGTCTCTCAAAATATGTAAGAGACATGAAATGGTGATCAGACTAATTGCAGTACTACCAGTTATTCCCTTCTGTAAGTTTTCAAAGTTTACAAGACCTAGTTGTTTGACTTAAATGCATTTCCCACACTTAAATGCACCATGTGGGATCCAAGCTTGCACCGGTCACTATTTCCCTTTGCCTCTTTGTTTCTTATCTTCCTTTTCTGTTCTATTTTGAAAAAATGCAGTGCTTCTCAAGACACTCTAGCTCAGTGTTTCTCAACCTTAGCAGCTTTAAGATATGTGTACTTCAACTCCCCATGGTTGGCTGGGGAATTCTGGGAGTTGAAGTCCACACATCTTAAAGTTGCTAAGGTTGAGAAATACTGCAGTCCTAGCTGATATTTCTGGAAATAATGAAGCTTGAGCTCCTTGTCACCTTCTTTCTCTTTATGCACGCAGGGTCATTATGTCAAAGCACAAGCTCTTTCTGGATTAGGAAGGATTGAAGAAGCATTGAAGGAATTTCTTTACTGTGTTGCCTTAAACCCTGAGTGGAACTCAATGAAGATGGAAGCCCAAAAGGTTGAATATTATACTTTTCATATCTAATCAAAGTGTGATGTTTTTATGTGCTTGGTATTTAGCCTCTACAGCTATGTAATGTGACTCATGTACAATAGAACATATAAGGGAAGCATTAATTATTTGATTATTCGGTTTATATGCTGCTTATCACTCACTGAAAGCCAGTGATAGGATTAAAATGAAAGCTATTGGTTAAAGTGAATATTAGGGTGATTTTTCAAAAAATATTAAAAGAAATTTTAGTATTTAACACAGTAACACGATAGCTTTAATAATATAATTTAGTCTAACTGTTTGGATTAGCCAGTGAATTAGATATTCATATAAATGATTAGTCTGCAGCTGTCAGCCTTCAAGCATAAATCAACCCATGAAAAATCTTTCAACCAGGAAATATCCATAGCATTTGAAACAACCCTACATTCAGTGGTTTTATTTTCATTTTTATTAATGGGATAGTGGAGAGGACAACAGTTTGGCACGTCATTGTGTGTGAATGTAGAATTCTGAGGGAGGGAAAAGAAATGGGAGACAGATAATATAGAATTTGTATGTTGTCCTAATATTTGACTTTATATGGGAAGATGTGTTCCATGGTTGATTGTATAGTATCCTTTTTGAAAATTATGATGTATATAAGCTGATTTTTTAATAGCATTTCTAAAATTGTTTTTTTTTTTAATCTAGATAATGTGTGAGATGTTTTTTCCAGCATTTGAAAATGTTCATGATAGTTTAACAACACCTTTTTGTAACCGGACTTCTTATACGAGATTAAAACCTGCATTTCTGAGTAGCATAAATACACAGTCTTCTAGTGAAGATGGGCCAACAGCTGAGAGCTCAAAGGTACTTAATAAATGAGACTACTCTTTTTTTCAGGACATTATATATAGCATTTTATTATATTCAGAAGTGTACTGTTATCCAGTTTAGTTTTAGTTTACTTTAAGAACATAGCTTCCCGAAGAAAGCTGATTAATAATGGAATGGAATGGAATGGAATGGAATGGAATGGAATGGAATGGAATGGAATGGAGACTAAAAATAGCAATTGGTTACTAAAATTTGCAGATATATTGTAATCCATTATGATTCAATAGATGTTAAAATTTGCATATTTGGAGAGTTCTCTTTAAAGCAGGGATCAGCTGCGGGCACCAGGATGCCAGCTGGAACCTCAGAAGCCACCCTGCCCCCATATTAAACATTGCTGAAATCTCATGAATGTTTGGCAAAATTTAAGGTTTTGGTGGTTTTTGAGATGAGCACCCTGGCCATCATATATTATCTATTTGTGAGTACCTAATTTAATGACATACTTGGTAACTGTGCTCTATATTGAAATGGTAATGCTAAAAAAACTATATTAAAATACAATCCATCCTTTGCTGAGTTCAGGTAAAATATGCAGAGAAAGCTCTGCCTGAGCAGCTGATCCATTTACTGTCTGAAATTTCATACAGTCCAAACATATATAAATAATAGAGTTGATAGAAGCAGTACTAGCAGAAGTCACACAACAGGTGACCAAAATACTGGTTCTGAATCATGACTGTGATCACCAAAGTTATGACTGTAGAAGACACATTTTCTGTTGTATCTATTTTAGGAGACCATCTTGAGGTTAACAAAAAACCCTTCCCAAGAGAATGATGTGTATCGATGTATTGATTCTTCAATTTCCCATCATGATTTCTACTTTGAAGAGAACAAGAAAACATTAGGAAAAGTCCTCTCCAGCCTACCTAGTGCAAGCTTGAAAAGAAAATTTTCTAGTGATGTGGGAGACTTCCAGAATCTGGATGTCCCTAGCAAAATTCCTAGAAAAGGTCTGTTGCAACCACTTACACTGTCTCCATTTTGGTTTTTTGTTGCTGCTGCTGTTTTTATTTTAGAGGGGGAAAAACCCACATTTTTGCTTCTTTTTGCTAGTTACGGAATATTTCACTAAAGTCAGTCCAGATGAATAAGTTAAATTGCTTGGTATTTTGTGTAAGAAAAAACGCATTATTACAGTCTGTAATAATAATATGTTATAGCTTTGTATTTAAATTAAATGGAAATGAGTACAGGTCGTTAAGCGGGGCAGTCATTTAGTGAGTCAGCACATGACCGGGCCCAATTTTACAACTATTTTTACAATGGTCATTAAGTGAATCACCGTGGTCGTTAAGCAAATTGCATGGTTGTTAAGTAATCCAGATTCCCCAATGGACTTTTTTGCCAGAATTCACTTAACAACCGTGCAATTTACTTAACCATGATTTGCTTAACAACTGTCATAACAAAGATTGCAAATCGCAATCATGTGACTACTGGGGGTAGTGCAACAGTTTGCGATGGTCATAAGTACAAGTACAGGTTGTAAAATACCTTTTCTGAGGCCATCATAACTTTGAACCATAATTAAACGAATGGTCGTTAAACAAGAATTACCTTTACTATGTGACATTCTTTATTCTTGTAGTTGTAGAGAATAAAACAAGTTATAGTGATTAGGATAGAATAGAATATGAAAAACTGAAATCTATAATACAAAATGATGTTAAACAAATTGAACAAAATGGACAGGTTATGGTCTGGGGCTGTGTTTTACTCTAAATAGCAGATTTCATACATAAGGGAATAGTTGTGGTATTCTGTCACAGCAAAGGCTAAGAGTTATTTTGTAGCAAAATTGTTTGCAGATTGGCATCTATAACTTCATTGGCATGAAACTTTCCAATTGCATGTCCTGGTATCTGAGTTCTTTAATTTTTCAGAACTGAAGTTGGTCTTAATCATCTATTTCTCTAGAATTGATTCTTCGTACTCATTTTAATTCTCCAGAAATGCACAATGTTAGTCCTGTGTTCCTGTCTGATCATTTTAGAACTCACTGGGAATTGTTAGTTTTTGAAAGACTTGAACATCCTCCTCTTCCTCCTTTTTTTGATACTTTGAACTACCTAATGAAGTCCTTCAGAAAAGGAATCTTGCTGATTTCAAATGTTCTTTTTTGTTTTAAGATGGAGATGCCCCTTCTGGAAACTCAGCTTCTTTTCCCATAAAAGAGATTCCTACAAATCTCATGGATGCATCTGACTTTGAGTGTTCCCTTTGCATGAGGTATTATTAACAAGCTGGAAGAAACAGCTAAATGTCTTGTTCTATAGGATTTAAATTTCAGCAGCAGTAGCACGTATCTCACCTTCTCTAGTTTTAGAAGCTTAAGTAGGGTGAAGCTGGATTTATCATCACCCAAAATGCTGTGATTTATGTTCTTATGTCAGACATCATGACAGAAGTATATAAGTCACAGTATCCATGTGATGACACAGTACGTTTGTATTATCTTGATATCATTGTAGTTTTCTTACAGATACTGTTGGCCTTGTTTAATACTTAGATGGAAAACAAGCAAAGAATTCCATTCCAGAAAAAGCAATAAAGAACCATGCCTGCTTTGTCGCTAGGAGGTTACGTAGATATATCCATGAAGTTATAGGGAAACAAGCTTTTTATATTGTTACTATTCTATGTTGCTTGTTGGTAATGTTACTGATATTTGATTTTGTTGGTTATTTCTTGATGCATTATGTTGAGATTTTGCATGGTGGACATTTTACAATTCTGTAAATTGTATTGGAAGCTGCTGTGAGTGTTGTAGAAATCTGCAGCATGCTAATTTAATAAATAAATAGTATACTAACATATTTTACGCTCATTAACTTTAATTTTATAGCAAGAACTCATCATTTATCTTACATAACTGCTCAGAAACAGTTTTTGAAAACGAATGAAAGAGCTCTGTGTCATAACTTGAGAAATAAGCTTTTCCTCAATAAGATTAGGCTAATTGTGTAGTGGGTGCATGATAATATCCCATACTATTTATTTCAAGAACAATTTACATACATGTGGTGGTGTGCAAAATGTTTTTAAATCAAGCTGATTTGACAGTTTCAAGTTCCAAAAATGGTTCCAAATGCATCTGTTGCAAGCTAGAAGAAGCATCATCATCATCATCATTTCTGAAGTTATCAAAACAGTGCATTTAGAATTCAAAACAGTTTCAGTTCAAAATGTTTTGCACGCTGCTACATACATGGATCACATGGGAAAACTCTCTAAGGAAGATGTGCATATGAATGGATATCTGAAATTATTGTTTTCATGTCTTGCTCAGGTTATTCTATGAACCTGTCACTACTCCTTGTGGACATACGTTCTGCCTCAAATGCCTTGAGCGTTGTCTGGATCATAATCCCCACTGTCCGCTTTGTAAAGAAAAACTCTCAGATGTAAGTCTTCCCCATCCTGTTTCCAGAAGCTGCTTAAATGAAAGGCTTGTGGTTCCTGAACCTTTAAGGGCCCATTTACCCCCTTAAACCACCTCCAAAAAGGGGGGGAAATTGATCTGAATTTTGGAGAGGGCTTCAAAAGGGGGTGCAATGCAAAAGTCCAATATGCCAATTTAATCCTTTAAAATCCGAGCCCCACAAGAAAATTACAACCCTGCTGAGTCTGGTATCTTGAAACTGGAAGTGGGGAGGGGCAAATGTGACTCTACATTATACACATAAACAGCATTTAAATATGTGTGATGTTTGACTCCAGTGCCAAAGAAAAGAAGGTAGATTTGTTTTGCATCACCTTACTATATAGCATGTAAGTTCCAGTTCTTTATTTCAGAGTCATTTTCAGAAGAAGCAATGTAGAATAATTAAATGGCCACTGTAAGCTCTTATAACTGCCATTTAAAACCATAACTAGTAAATCACTACTGTATTTAGCTAGTGCTTGACCATAGTATTCTGTACAAATTCCCTATTCCATTCCAGGGTCTTAAAACATGAAAACATTTACTTTACCATCGGATTCTGCTCCCCAGGCCAGTCTAATTACTGATTACTGGCATAGCTAGAATTGAATAACGTGGATTCTTGAACTCCCTTTATAGTTTCTGGCAAGTCGGACTTACAAAAAGACCATCCTTACTGAAGAATTAATAGTTCGATACTTTCCAGAAGAATTATCTGAAAGGAAAAAAGTTTATGAAGAAGAAATGAAGGAGTTATCAAAGTAAGCAACCCGCTTTTACAAAGAGAATATTAATAAAACTCAATGAGTTAACTTAAATAACTTATTTATATTTTCATAACATTATTTATACTTGTCTGATCTTCAAACAAAAATTGTTCTATTTTAGTATGCTGGTGTGGTGTTACTTGGAAAAACACATTTTGACACTAATATATCTATTATTCCTTTCCCTTGATTTTTCATGGGAACTCACACCTTACATTCAGAAACCCAGTTCATGTTTTTGTACAACATGAAAAGGTTGAGAGTGGGAAAGACCATTGGAATTAGTTTCCATCCCCTTTATATAATGAATATACATGTGTGGGTCAGGAATATTCATGCCCCACCCATGAATTAGAACACTAACCTAGTTCGTACAAAAGCCTGGGAACAAGACCTCTTACAGAATTACCTTAAATATATTCTGACAGCTGCTCCAAAAACTCGAGGACCACATAGTGAGTTTCTGGAGCAGGTACATTATCGTTTGGAAGATTAGTGTGCAAGATTATATATGGAAGTAGAGGTTATCTTGTACAGAGAAAGCATTTGAATAAGAATAAAGTTAAGCTGATAGAGGGGGTTCTTATAGGGGTTACTAGCTGATAGAGGGGGTTACTATTCATTTTATCCAAAATCCCATATAATTGTCCCTGTATGTAGTAATTGCAATAATATACATCAGAGATAGTCAATTGGTGGGTTCCTTGCTACGCTTGATTTTACTTGTTTAGTTGTTTGAAATGATAATTATATAACAAGTAGGCATACTGCAAAATGAAACATCAATTTTCCCACAACCAATGCTATTAGTTTTATGAGAACTGTGGCATGTTCCCAAATTTCCAATTTGCCCACTAGCCTCAAAATGTTGCCAACCTCTCATATATACATGATAGTCTTTTGCCTTAAACATGTACTGTTTCAGCTGAGCATGGCCTTTGCTAGGTTTAGATTGTCTTCTGTTGTGTTTGTCAGTAACAGAAGAGAGAGCCTGAGAAGCTGAGTGAAAACCCGAGTACAATGAAGCTTATTTCATGAGTAGTTTCAAACATGGATTTCAGTTATTTGTTTTAACAGATATTGACCTGCATAAACATAAAAGTCATTCTTCCTTCTCTTATAGCCTGAATAAAGATGTTCCCATTTTTGTGTGTACCATGGCTTTCCCTACCATCCCTTGTCCTCTTCATGTCTTTGAGCCCCGTTATCGATTAATGATAAGAAGATGCATGGAAACGGGCACTAAACAATTTGGCATGTGTTTAACTGATGAACTGAAAGGGTAAGCTAAGGATTTGGAACTCCTTTATAAAATACTACATTTCTGGGGGGGAAAGTGGTATGAGGGCTGTCAAATATGGAAATGTGTTCTCATCAGGGAGATGGGGGCTGCTGCTGCTTTGTAATGAAGAGCCATGCCCAGTGTTGGGGCATATGCCAAGATATAGCAGTTGGCTGATCAGTAACAATGTCATTGTAAACTTTCTATCAGGGAGAGGTATATAGTGCTTAGGGAAAAATCTGACGATCTAGAGAAGGCTTCCCAATTTGCTTTCCAGATATGTAGATCTTTGCTCCCCATATTCTTCTGGTTGGGAATTGAAATCCAGCTCATTTGAGGATATTAGATTGGGGGCGGGTGTAATGGTATGTGGGGATGACCTTGGAAGGTGGTGTGGGGAGAGATGCTGCCTAGAGAACAATCAGATAAGAGAGGACATAGCCTGCAGCTCCATAACAGGCAGAGAAAGAAACTTAGAAAGGAACCTCCCTAACTTCTCAGGCTGTAAAAGAGATGGCAGATTTGTACTATCAGACTTGCAAGATTCTGTTAATGTAGCCTTACAGTAAAGTAGAATTAGCTCATCTGGTTGTGTTTCCTGTCTGATCTACCTGGGAAGGCTGACAACAGGTAACCTAGATGCAGCATTCCAAAAACTCAAGCGATCATGGCTTTCTACAGAACTGGAACAAACAATATTCCTACAATCCCTTATATCTCATCTTACAATGTTAGGCCAAGTAATTCCTTTTACAACTTCATTCCAAACGTATTTAGGCAGGCTACGAGGAATCTGTAAGGCTCCTTCCTAAAATATATTTAGAACTACAGTCTTAATATGGCTTTGTCCCTTCAGGTTTGCAGATTACGGCTGCATGTTGGAGATCAGGAATGTGAAATTTTTCCCTGATGGGCGCTCGGTTGTTGATACAGTTGGTGTTCGGCGTTTTAGGGTTTTAAGTCATGGTCAGCGAGATGGATATAATACCGCAAACATTGAATATTTGGAAGATGAAAAGGTAACTTTTTAGCGTAGTAGTTTTCTGTTACCTCATCTATTGAAAATAAGTTTTGTCAGCTGTGTCTTGTCTCCTAAATTACACGACAACCTATAACCTAACTTTTTAAGGCTGGCTTTTGTGGTGTTCTACTTTAGCAGTGTGGTACAAATTAACTTTTCTTAACCCCAAAGCTGAAGTTATTTCCCTCCTTTTGCTTCCATTCCCTTACTAAAGTGATCAGCACTGAGCTCCTTTAATAACCCATCATTTTAAAATCAAAATAACATATTCAGAAGTTTTAAAGACTCAGATCAATACCAAGCTCCACCATGATTAAAAGTGTATTCCTGAAGATGTTTACTATGCAATTGTACAGCCACCACCTGTTCCAGGGTAGTGTTCAAAATAAGGAAATGGCATTACAGAAGCAAGGTCTATTGGAAGTTGGTATTCCACCCAAATTATTTTGTGTTTATATGTATCTTTGCACAGCCTGGAGATTTTTAGCTGTACATGTTAGGAATACCATTTTCTAATCTGCTTGCAAATTATATCAGATCTTTCAAATGTGTAGCAGCAACTCTCTTCTTTAACTGATGCAAAGGTATTAGCAAGCTCTATCAGATCACATGTTCCTTAAGCATGCTTTGGTCAGTGGCTTTTAATCCTATTAATTTATGTGATTGGTTTCTCTAAGAGTGTAATGTAAAGCAGCTCTTCAGAGAAATACACAAAGAATAGGCTGTCACCCACTCATTAAGGTTACAATTAAATGGGCTATCATTTAGATGAACAATGGTGTGATCCAGAGTTGGCAGCTTATTGTTATATCACAAATGTAATTCAAATATATTCAAAATAATTCAAATATATTTTTAAAAATCTGCAAATGATTTTTTAAAATTAGTCGGTTTTCACATCTGTACTGAAAAGTGCTAGATCCCAAACTCTCCTGCACTTTTCCACATCAATCTTTGACATTGATTATGAATATAATAAAACAATCTACTAAGTGATAAGTTGGCAAATTGCCCTTGTAATCAGCTGGTAACCCAATTTTCACTATTATCCTGCTGAATACTGAACACCTGAAATTATCTGGGTTGCTTTCTTGGAATTCTAAGTGGATTCAAAAGGGAGGTAATTAAAAAAAGGCCCATGTTTAAGATATTTAAAAGTAACTTAAGTCTTTTTGAAATGGTATAAGCTTTTGTTATGATGTACATGACACACATTTGGATTTCATCCATTTTCATCACTCAACCAGGTTGACGGGGCAGAGTATGACGAGCTTGTCCGCATTCACGATTCCGTTTATGATCAAGCTGTTTCCTGGTTTACTTCTCTTAAAGACAATATGAAAGTACAAATTTTAAACCATTTTGGACCAATGCCAGGGAAAGAACGTGAGCCGCAGGTAAATATGAAGTTATCGATGAATGCTAAAAACTAACAAACTACAACAGTAAACACCACAGTGAAAAATCTGTGCAAACAATTTACATAAGGTGAATTAATTTAAAATCTGTTCAGCTAAAATGTTCATAAACTAATTTGTGTGAAAATGCAGATGCTACAAAGTTGTAAGAATGCAATTCCTTCAGAATGCTATGTCATCTTTTTTTATATATCCACTTATGGCTAGTTTTAAAAGGATTGCAGATTTAAGGGAAGGTGTGGAGGCAATTGGACCTTACTTTAGCTGGCCAGCGCCAGCCCAGCTGACCAGTCACGGCCTATATTCCCACTGCCAGTCTTACCAGTCATATCCCGTAGCTGTTCCAAGATTGCTGTAAGAGTGCACTTCGTTAATCCCAATTTGGAATGTTCAAAGCATTCCATGCACAAACCATTCTGTACACGGAACAGCTGTTTTCAAGTGGTCTGTAACAGAATTTAACCACGAATGTTCTGAATGTTTCAGTCCGTGCACAAAAACTAAACAGGGCTGTTTTGGTCTCGGTATGGACCAAAATAGGCCTGCTCTGGGCACGAGTGATTTGGAGGCGGAGGAGCAGGAAGACCCAAATGAAGTTGGCAGTGGCAAATGAGAGGAGAAAAGGAAGACCTCATTGCTCCTCTCTTCTCTCAATAGTTCCCAGTGCAGAATATCCCATTTGTTGCCAGTCTTCCACCTCCCTCCTTACCATTTGTCCACTTCTGCTGCTGGTGACATTTCATTGCAGCATATGCTGTTGGTTCACCTGTACCTGCCCCTCCCCCAGTATTCCCAGTCTCTTCCTTCCCTTCACCATCTGATGTCCCAGTATGCCATATTTCACCAGCCTACCCATTCACCCTCATTCTCCCAGTGCTTTCCCTTCCCTCCCTCCCTCTCTGCCCAGCTGCCTCTGATTTTGGGGGGGAGGATAGGTACATGTATAATTGTACTTACAACTGCTGCAAAGAAGATCAGAAGCCACTTTGTATCTTTTTTCTTTCTTTTCTATTTTTCATTTACTCTTTCTTTCTTCTTTCTTTCTTTCTTTCTTTCTTTCTTTCTTTCTTTCTTTCTCTCTCTCTCTCTCTCTCTCTCTCTCTTTCTATCTTGCACTTTTAACTCACTCTTTGATTTCTTTCTTTTTCTTTTTTTCTTCCTTAGTCAGTATTAGTTTGTCTTAGTTTTTACTTTTGTTTTTCAAACTTTTAATAAAATTATGTAGGAAATTACAGACAACCACTGGCAAGCAGTTTGCTGTGTTGTGTGAACACAGTATAGGGGGTTCTCAACAGTTTAACCCCTTCGCTGGTCAAAATTTAAGAATAAGAACTATCTTTCACAGCATGATAGTTATAAAACTATCATTGTAAAACTCTGCTGGTAGGAATCCATCATTTGGTTTTCAGACACACACAACTCCTGAAAATATATTGGTGGCTGCTATTTAAAATCTGCCCTGTTCTCATTTGCTTCTAGGTTTAGAAAGATCAATCCCAGTTACATTAATCTAATTATATTTTTATTTTTCAAATCATATTTTGGGCTACTGTAAGATGCACTGTCTTCCCTATTGGAACCATAGTTCCATTTCAGTTTGTTCACATAGACTGATATTTGTTTTTACAGGAGCATTTGGACAAATTGTGTATTAACAGCTTAGATTTAGTTTTGTTTCCTTGGTTGCATTTACCTTTTCTTAGACTGTGAGTCATACTTTTATGTTACAGTGTATGATGAAATTACTCCCTTAAAACCAATAAGGACAGCTCTGTGAAAATAGTAATATAGATCTTATTTTAATGTTGTATTTCTACCTTATTTGTTTCTCTAAATTGATTGTATTTCTATGGCCTTTCAGTCCCTTTAAAATGAAGTTATACCCAAAATCAAGGGTAAAAAATCTCATTTGAGGTAGGGGCTGTGCTGTTATTTTTGTTGGCCAAGAGTTTTAGGGAGGAGAACAATTATGTGGTTCCAGATAAACAGGGTGATTGTGTTTAGGGTTTTTAATTCCATTGGGGGATTTAGTCACTTCAAGGGTGTTTAATGTTTCTGAAGCTTCAGGTTTTCATACTGGGGATCTGCAGGAAATTACACTCATAAAGTTCGATGGTTTGCTATTGAATTTTGGCATGCATCATCCATGGGGCTATCTGGGAGCACAAAAATGGGGTTTGGAATGTTGTTGTCGTCTATCTTTGTTCTGTTGTTTTTAGGTTGATATTTTTCTCTTGTTAGAAAATATCAAGATAATAACAAAAACTTTTGAAAATGTTTGGGACAGCCTTACTATATAAAATAGGGAGAAAACCTGTGGCGCTCTAGCTATTGCTGGACTGCAATTCTCAGCATTCCCCTAAAGTGGCTGAAGCTACTGGGAGTGATGGACCAGCAGCATCTGGAGGGGCTGCAGGTCCACTGCAGAAATATGCTGTGGGTGAACCAAGAACTATTTTCAGCCTCTGCATTCTGTGAACAGCCCAGAGTGTTGTCTTAGATTTTCTTACAGCTATTAGATGGCATTCTATCTGCTTGAATTATGTTATTAAAAAAAGGTGATATATTAATATTTATTTTACAGAGTAATCCCAGTGGTCCAGCTTGGTACTGGTGGCTGTTGGCAGTATTGCCACTAGAGAACAGGGCCCAGTTGGCCATTCTTGCCATGACTTCACTTAAAGATCGTCTCGTTGCCATTCGCCGTGTATTAATATTTGTGACACGCAAAAGACCCAGATGACACAGTCTTATTTGTGAAGAAACACTGAAAACAACTGGTTTCTAATGCTAATAAGAAAACAGTTGGTAACTGAACAGTTCTTCCCTCTGCTCATCTAAGCATTCATTCTTCTTTGCACACTCTGGACCCAATAGTTAATCAAGTATTCTGTGCCTCTTGTCCTGGAATAATCTGAGCCTCTTGGAAGTTGTGCCACAACTGCAACATAGTGTACAGTAGTTGCAGGCATCAACTGAGTACATAATCGCCATCTACTTATCAAGATGAGACAACTGAGTCAGAAGCACTAAAATGTCTACAAATCCCCAGCTGACATTTTTATTTCTTTGTAGCAAGGAAACAGAACTTGGAGTAGTGGATTAGAAACTGAGAATATGTATTGTTAGAATATTCCTTATGGTAGCCAATTGAAGAGAAATTGTCAAATGTTCCTCTGAAAGAATGCACCGAGAGCAACATTTTATCTGGAACGTGTGGACAAAAGTATCGGAAGCAAATGGGGTTGCCAGGATAAAATGCTCCACTTCCAAAGAAACTGTCCTAAAGAGCATCCAATGAACAGCTTTGCGGCTGATTATAAACCAATTCCTTGTGTTTGTAATTTGCATGCTGTATGTATTGAGAAGAATGTTTCAAAATATATCCAAGAAGGTTGAGTCATTCTTCCCTCCCAAGCCCCCTTCCCTTCAGAATGACATCAGGAACCTACAATAAGGAAAGAGCTACTTGTGGACAGCCTTGTAGTTGGGACATGGAACTAACAGCCTCCCATAGTGGACATAAGTGTGTCTTAGGGAGAGCTTCTCTCTGCCATTACAATACTTGAGATTGTGAAGCTCCGTGGCTGGATCATGGCCAGCATGTTTAGTGTATATCTACACGGTTAATTTCAAGCTCTTCAGTGATTATCTTACTAAAGGCTGTTGAAAAAATGAATCACTGTTTCAATTTTATCCTTCTAGTTTTGTCTGGAAGTGACACTTAGGTAAAATCCATCTTTACTCACAACTGCCATACCAGCCTAATAGGTTCTTCTGAGAAAACATAGTTCCATATACTTTTGAAAACCAAAACCTTAATATTACTTGTTATGTACCGAATACTGTTCGTGCTTGAAGTTCTTGCTGACATGAGAGGAGACACAAATGGAACCCTGTACTGCAAATTTCAATGCAAGTTTAAATGAGATGTAAATATATCTGTATTTTGATGTCTTCATATGTGTTGTTAACCTTTTAAAAATGGTTGAATTATTGGAAATAGTTTAGTAGTTTAGTTGTAAACATGAAACAGCAAAACAGTATTGCTAATTCAAACTGCTGGGATCTCTGAATTTCCAGAAACAATTGAACAGGAAGTGAAAATAGTAGAGGTTGAAGTTTCAGAACATAGAGCAAAGACAAGGCAAGCTAAGAGATACTGGTTGTAAAAAAACATTAATCTGGCAAGAAAATAATGACAATACCAAAATATTTCGAAAGTGCCTCCTTTATGAATTAGAAACAGCATGTGCTCTTTGGACAAAGGCATAAAAATTTCAAATGTATACAGAAAGTATAATCATCTGAAAGACTGATTTCAGTAAGTGCTATAATTGTGCGGTATTAGAAGATCGTCTAAAGAATCTTGACTGGAGTGGACAGCAGTTTCCTAAGACGTGATCAACACAGCCTGAATGTACTGTAATTGCTTCTTCTTTGAATTCACCTTTTGTAGTTAAGTATTGACCTGTGACTGCTCTTTTAATTGTAAACTCTGCAACTTGCAAATGAAGCTCTAATAATTTCTGCCATAGCCTTCCTGCAAGTTCTAATACCTTTTACCAGAGTTTGTAGATTCTCTTTCAAGTATTTTTAGGAAGCTTGTTCCTGGCTGACCTTGGTTGATCTTGAATGCTAATCAAGGTCAATCCTCATTACTACTTGGATGGGGGACAACTAGGAGCTCTAAGGCTGTAGGTGAGACCAGGAAATTTAAAAAAAAAAAAAAACTGCCAGAAGGAGGCCATGGCAAATCACTTCTGTATCACGCCAAGAGCACCGCATGAATTTCTCCAGGTAGTCCCCAGGAGTCAAGCATGACTCAAAGGCGACATTACCTGTTTTAGCATTAAAGCCAGAGAGAAGGAGGGTCTCACTCTGTTCTCCTTTCTATCCGTTCCCTGGGTGCTATCACACTTTCCTTCAGCACAGCTGTCTTCCTGTTCATTCACTGGACTTTAAAAGCTTCCAAGTTTTATCAAGAAAGAGGTTTTTCAAAATGAGCCTCATCACTTTTTTTCAGGGAACTTGGACCCCCTTCATTATTTTTCACAGTATTTGTAGCTGTGATTGCTTTGAATGTCTCTGGCAGGATTTGGTTTACCTCTTGTTTTTCCCTTTCCCTTTTCTGTTTTCTTCTGTTACTAATTGAAGTTTCAGAGCAATTCAGCATAAGTACAAACTCATTTGTTCCTAAGTTACTGTTTTGGCGCTTCCCATTTTTGAGGCAGAATCCTCTGTACTATCCCTGGGGTTCCCATCTGATGCTGTCTTTTGGATGAGGAATTTTACGGCCATCTTCAACTTGGTATGATTACCCTTTAAAATCAAAAGCCAGGCTGGCGACTCTTTCAACCATCAGAACTTGGTCACCTCAGCAGATGCATTAGCACATGTATGTGATGAAAGCCAGAATTTTAAGATCCTTTTATTTCTCTTAGGCTGATCAATCTGGCAACCTTTAGGCAACTGAGGATTACAATACCCTCATTGTCTAAAGTGCTTTGCAGAAAAATATTCAGGACATAATTTTATAGGGCTGAAAAGGTATCCCAGCCACTCCTATAAAAAGCAAACATGCAAAAACCTGAACCCCCTAATAGGTCTGCTTCCAAATAATAGGTGAAGCTTAACCTTTTTTAATTTCACAACTCATATAAATTATTTGCTACAGTGGCCTTTATCTACTGTTTTCAAATATCCCTTTTTCCTTTCAGTTGCTAAGGGTGCTTTGTGATTCCGGTAAGCTGATAATCAGCAGATTTCTGCTCTTTTGATTCATGCTGCAGTTAATTTTCAACGAAAAGGAATAAGATTTGGTCAGAAAATTGTATGCATTAGTCATACAACGCCTTGCGTAACCGAAGGCCTGGTGTTTGGTAGCGCCTTAATTTTGCAGCACTAGAATGATTGTATCAACAAAGCACCATAAAAACAAAAATCTGGAGCTTATGACCAGTTTTAAAAAAATATTTAATGTAGATAAAACTTGAAGCAAATATCCTTACGTTTTGAAACTAGTTGACGTGTGTATGTGGATAAGTGTACATGGTTGTACATATGTGTAAATATAAATTATTCCTCATTTTTTATACTTAGTAAAACAAAAGTCAGGTAGGTGTTACAGCTATGTTTGGCACTTCGTTGCATAAAACCAAACTTTTTTTAAAAAAATTGCTGCAATGTTCTTTTTGTGTATATTTGGAATATCCATGGGAAAATGTATTTATGTGACATTTCAAATAAATAATTTCTGTTTGCCATTGTTGTATGTAATTTTACTAACTACAAAGCAGAATTTTATCAGAAGTCAAATGTATATATCTCTTGAGAGAATCTGGCTTTACTTTTTCAAGTCGCTGAAACTTAGCTACATCCAATATTAGTCTTACATTCTTCATTGCTTAGTTGGTGTTTGTACATGTATATTAATGCAAGGCATTATCTGAGATTAAGAGCGGCAGGAATAGCTTCTTAAATCTCTGCCTTTCAGGCTTTTTCTCTTCAAAAGTGCACTACCCTTTCCCCAGCTGTTTTCTTTCCTTCCAGGACAGGAGGAAACATTAGCAAGCCCTTTCACTACTTTTTGCTCTGTTCCACATTAAAAGAAAATGTAATTCAATAATGCTTCCTGTAGTCTAATCTCTAAAGAATGTACTTGCTACTAGTTACACATGTTTTAGTTGCCTGTCACGTTTTATCTCCACAACAGCCTAACAGAAACTAGTTTTAACGTTGTTGGAAGGGTTTAACAAGTAGCATTTGATAGCATAGTCTGGTGATATAATTACTACTGTGCTTAAATGGGACTTACTTTTCAGTTACAGTATTTATATATTTTATAAATGTTTATGTAAAGCACTGCAGCCTTAATAGACATTAATTTTCATTCGTGATGGATTTTTTTTATCACAGAGTATATTTTCACACAATATTTTGCAGAATGTAGAATCATCATCTAAAACAAATTTAAATGCTGATGGTCATTTAAAAGTTTTAGATGTTGCTAATAGGTTTGGAACAAATTATGCAATCAAAATATGTTTTAATTGGATATACTGATATTCATATATTAAACAATCCAAGAGCCAGTTTGGTGTAGTGGTTAAGGCACCGGGCTAGAAAGTGGGAGACTCTGAGTTCTAGTCCCGCCTTAAGCACCAAGCTACCTGGGTGACCTTGGGCCAGCCACTCTCTCTCAGCCCTAGGAAGCAGGCAATGGCAAACCACTTCCAAAATTTTGCCAAGAAAAATGCAGGGACTAGTCCAGGCAGTCACCAGGAATCAAAGCTGACTTGAAGGCATAAAAAAAAGGGAAAAAAAGACAATCCAAATTCCCTGTAGCATAAGAATTAAAAACAAAATGTAGGCTTATCATGTGAATAAGGATCAAAATTATATCCAACTATGCCGTGCAACCTTTAATGACAGAAATACTATAGAATTGGGACTCAAAGGGGTACCAAGCTCCTGTCATGATATTAAGGGGGACACATAATAACTAATTATGTCCATTATTATTTTTAGACATGAACACTGGGACTCCATAGAAAAACATAAGACGTAGGTCCAGTGATAATGCTGAAGATGAAAGTTAAAACCTAAGTCATTGAATGGTAACTGTAATTTAGATAAAACCTAAATCCTTCCCATAATTATTTTCTTAATTTCTCAATCTGCTTTAAATACTTTAAACTGATTAACATCATAACCCTTCAAAGTACATATCTTGAAATAATTCATTTTTATATTTGTCTTTCTGTGTAAGCTCATTTGGATGTTTCATAATTTATCTCAGCTGAGGTAAACAATTTGAAATATCTACCAGTACTGATGAAGAATTTTCCTGGAATAATTATTCCAAGATGTTTTTAAAAAATCAAATGCTAAGTAAAGTTCCAATTTGTACATATTTTCATGGATGCACTACAGCCTACAGGATGCATATGAGATTTATTTCAATTAATTGAGTAAGCAAATAATTTACCAAACTGTTGAACTATATCAATAAATGTTGGTACAGAGCATTCATAATTTTCATTAAGGTATCAATAACAAAAAATGTCAAATAATTTTTAAAAATGTGTTAACCTCCAGCGGCTTTTATGACCAGAATGTCTTGATTGTCAGATAAGACAGGACAATGATTCCAATATTAAAGAGAGAAAAGGACATCTTGTGAAGTTCCTCAAAACATCTTGGTAGGATCTTGATAATAAAATAATTTGTAATAATCCTGGCAATCTACTGTCTTGATTATTGCAATTTGCTATACATGGGTTGCCCTAGAAGACCCTTGGGAACCGCAGCTGGTTCTGAATGTAGCGCAGGCAGTTATGACCGTGTCATGGTACGCTAATGTAACACCTCTGATTCATGAGCTGCCTACAGAAACCTGTAGGCTTCTGACTGCAATTCAAGGTTCTCATTGTCACCTATAAAGCCCTTCAGGGCATATGACCTGATTATTTGAGGGACTGCCTACCTCCTGTAGTTTCTGAGCTGCCACATACATTCTGAAAAAGTTGACATGCTCCAGGTCCCATAGATAAAACAGTGGTGGAACCTGGAAGCAGACCTTCACTGTCATGGCACCTGGCCTCTGGAAAAACATTCTCCCTGAGATGTATATGGCCCCACTGTTACCTTATTTAAATGATTTCTGAAGACTTGGCTGTTTCTCTAGGCCATAGGTTTGAAAGGAAGATGGACCTTTTGTGTGGTGTTTTGATTTTTAATTGTGGTTATTTTTCTGGACGCTACTTTCATGTTGTCTATTGTATTCATGTTTCTATTTACTTTGTAAGCTGCCCAGAGCTGTCATAGATTGGGGTGACCTATCTATATTTATAAATAAATATATAAATGAATATTAGAATTCCATATTATAATCCAATTATAAAAAAGGAAGAAAATTCATATTTTTGCTAAAAATTGCTCCAAAAATGTCAGCTGCACTCTGTCAAATACCTTTCCCATATTTAATGAAGCTGCTGCTGTTGCCAGTTTTTCTGAACATATATAAAAAAATATCAATAATCCAATAGTTGAGGCTTGTTGCCTTTTCATAAAACCAGACTAGATGGATGGATAATCAAAGGTAATGTCATCTGTAGGGTCCATGCTAGGGTTATCAGTATTTTGGCATTGAGGAAATTGGAATATAACTTGCAAAATCAGACTCCTTTACAAGCCTTCAAAATCAGAGTTATATAGGACTCATTAAAGGAAGTTAGAAAAACATTTTAAAAAGCATTATTACAAATGGCAAAAAAATATAGGAGTCAAAAAATCAGTGTATGATTCATACCACTCAATAGGATAACCATCAGCACCAGCTTTTCCTGCTTTCATAGATTTAATAGAATCTATTGTTTTCTGAAGAGATAAAGCTGAAGGCTGGCCATGTATATTCTTTCCAACAGCTATGTTATATTTTAAATGATTAATTTCTTCCCTCAGTATCATTTGACTTAGTATTATAAAAATGAGTACAAAAATTTAAAAATTCTGGTTTTTAAATCAGAGACATTATGTACTTTGTCCTGAGCATCCTTAGAAATATAAATTACATTCCTTTGTTGCTGTTTCAATCAAAAGAATTCAATCCAGTATTTATCAGGTCTTTCCACTCAGTCTCAGTTATCTTTGTTTTGCGTTATTCAATTAATACTACATATGAGATGCATAAAAGGAATTATGACCCAATTTGGAAACATAAAAAGTTTTATATGATTATCATATAATTATCTTGCATAAGGGATAGATTGATTATGTGGTATCAAGTCAGTGTCAACTCTTAGCAACCCTATGGATAGAGTTTCTCCATGACTTGCATATATATTCAATTTTATTTTTGAAATTTATTGTTTAGATATTTTACTATTTTTCCATGAAGTATATGCAATAATACAACCATGAATACATAAATTCATAAACAGCCACTATGTTCATGGATTGTATGTTCATCATTTAAAAAAAAATATCTTTGCAATCTTGTTTAGCCTTTTTATAATTCATTTAAATACCATCTTGAAAAAGCAGGATGACTTTTTTCTATAATTGATAGCATTATTGGAACATGATTGGATATTCCTATAAAGCCAATGTCTCTATCAATTTAACCATTTTTCTGTCTAATTAACTAAGGATCAAGTTGGTAAAAAAATAACTTGGGAAAAATTCTGATATGGAATTGAAGAAAAAGTATATTCTTGCTATGAAGGATTTAAAAGTTAGAATTTTTTTTAAAAAGGTTTAATGCTTTGTCTAAAAATGACCTTGTATGTGTATGTATATACACACACATAATGACACATGCATAGATATATACACAGACATAATATGCTTTTGTCTTTTGTATATGTTTTCTTTGTGTATACTAAAGGAATAAAAAAAAGAATATTATGCAGAATGCAAAGAATGAATTTTTTGATACCTATATATTTATTTAAATATTCAGTTAACAAACACAGAGCCATGAATGGGACTTAAATGGTCAGATATGGTTCAGCATATGCAATATACAACTCTAGAAGCAAGAGGGAATACATACAAGTGTTTCATTAACTATAGAGAGGTTAAAAACAGTCTAGCCTTCTGCAGCCTAGTGCCCCCCAAATCACTTATCCTACATCTCCCAGGGTTCCTAACCAGCAGGAATGTAGATTATTGTAGCCTCAGCACAGAACGCCTACAATTATTTAACTGATTTTACACTATTTCCTTTGTCATAAGTCATCTCAAAAGATGGAACATATTTATTGACAAAACATTAAAATAACAATTAAAATGGATATTGTGTATGGAAGGCTCCAGTGAAGGAATAGGTTTTGGAAGCAATTCAAACATATCAAGGTCAGCACCACTCAAATGTGAGGTTGAATATTCAGGGAAGGCCCTTGTGCAGGTTAGCGACAGATGGTAGGGCATGGATTGCAGCACAAATAACAACTGAGTATATCTCTTTGGGAGATATGCAGATATAAAAATATTGAAATACTGACTCAATAATTAAAGGTGTTTCAGTATGTGTCTGTCTAATATACACACAATCAAGTATCCAACATTAATCTAAATTTCTGTGGATAAGCAGGTTGCAGTTCAAGATGAGTTCATGTAGGTTGACAAGTACATTGTGCTGTTCTTTATTTTGAGGCAAGTAATACAGAGCTGTGGGTATGCACTATGATGTTTTGCACATTAGTATTGTCAATAGTGCAAATACATATGTACAATCTTCTTTGAGTTTTAGTTC